TAGACCATATGCTTAGCATTCGTGAGACCCTGAGTTCAATCCCCAGCACTGCAAAGGAAATAGTGGAATACTGTCCAACAAGCACAAATTGCTAAAATAAAGTAAAAAGGACTGCACGGTGATAAAAGTCAATCAATATAAACCACATTGTGCTTCTACTCAGACAAAGGAAAGATGGGTTTACAAAGCAGGAAGTTGGATTTCTCCAGAAGAATGTCCAAGGCTGCTGAGTTCAGGGGCATAGGGATGGGAAACAAGGGCAGAACTCTCACTCATGATGAAAAGCAAATCAAAGAACCAGGCTGCCTCTTAAGAGCAACAGTATGGATGGCCTGTTCACCTACAACTTCACAGAACTTCAGTGAAACCCACACAAAGGAGATTACATCCCTACACTACTAACAGAAACAGTAGAACCAGAAAGCAGTGATTCTTGAACATTTGTAACTATAGCTGACTTAAGATGACAAAAAGAAAAATCAAAACATAAAGGAAACTATCACACTGTCCTCCTTAAAATCTATTTGATTTAAATAGCTTCTAAAGCTCCTAAATGAATGCAATATTAAAAGGAGAGCACAATCTCTATAAACAGGCAAGGGATCTAATTAGATATTTCTTTCAGAAGATCACAAATGTCTAACAAACTTACAAAAAGATGCTCATCATTAGCCACCAGGGAAATGAAAGTCAAAGCCACAATGAGATATACTTTACATCCACTAGGATGACTATAACTAAAAAGACAGTAACAATCACTGATGATAAAGATGTGGAGATACTGGAATTCCCATATGCCACCTGTGGGCAAGTAAAATGATATCATCACTTTGGAAAACAGTCTGGCAGTACCTCAAAAGATTAAATAAGTATAGAGCTACTGTATGATTCAGCAATTATACTCCTGGGTCTACATCCAAAATATATGAAAACACATGGTCACAGAAAAAGCTGCTTACAAATGTTCATAGTATCCAAACAGCAAAACAACTAAAATGTCCATCATGGGTGAAACGAATAGAAAGATGCAGTTTATTCACATGATAAAATATTATTTGACAGGGGCTGAGAAGATGACTCAGTGGTAGAGCCCTTGCTTTGCATGCATGAGGCCCTGGGTTCGATTCCTCAGCACCACATAAGCAAAAAAGAAAAAAGCCAGAAGTGGCACTGTGGCTCAAGTGGTAGAGCGCTAGCCTTGAGCTGAAGAGCTGAGGGACAGTGCCCAGGCCCAGAGTTCAGGCCCCACGACCGGACCCCCCCCCCAAAAAAAAGAACTTATAGGGACAGGCAGGAACTTCCTGAACAGAGTCCCAGGGACACAACAAATTGGAGAGAGACTTAATAAATGAGACTACCTTAAAATAAAAAGTTTCTGCACAGCTAAAGGAACAGCAACCAAACTAGAAAGAAAGCCAACAATTGGGGAAAAAAATTTATCTACAATATATCAGTCAAGGGCCTAATATCCATTATGTACAGAGAACCCAAGAAACTAACCCTTCCCAAATCTAACAAACCAATCATGAAATGGGCAAAGGAGCTAAAGAGAGACTTCTCAGAAGAAGAGATAAAAATGGCAAAGAAGCACATGAGGAAATGTTCATCATCCCTGGCTGTAAAGAAAATGCAAATAAAAACAACAGTGAGATACCCAGTCAGAATGGCCCACATCCTAAATTCAGCCAATGGCAATTGCTGGAGGGGATACAGAGAAAGAGGAACCCTACTGCATTACTGGTGGGAATGTACACTAATACAACACTTTGGAAAGCAGTCTGGAGGTACCTCAGAAAGCACATATAGACCTCCCCTATGACCCAGCCATACCACTCGTAGGCATCTACCCTGAACAACAGCAACCAGGATACAAGGACACACCCACCTCCATGTTCATTGCAGCACTGTTCACAATAGCCAAGAAATGGAAACAACCCAGATGCCCCACTACTGATGGGTGGATCCAAAAATTGTGCTACCCTGTGGCTCAAGTGGTAGAGCGCTAGCCTTGAGCTGAAGAGCTGAGGGACAGCACCCAGGCCCAGAGTTCAGGCCCACGACCAGACCAAAAAAAAAAAAAAAGAATCTCACAAAAATTGTGCTACCTATATACAATATTATGCAGCCATTAGAAAGGACAAAATAATGGCATTTGCAGGGAAATGGATGGAACTAGAGCTAATCTTTTGAGCGAGGTAAGCCAAGAACAAAGAGACAAACGGCACATGGTCTCCCTGATATGTGGATGCTAAAGCCAAAATGCAAGAAGATATGACAAAGTAAATAAGACTCGAGAAACAAAGGACAACCACTCATTTTGTTGTATCATTGCTAAATGACTCCACGTTCTTGACCATAGATATGGTATATATATGTACGCAACGAAGGGAAGCAAGAAGGAGGACGCAGAACGAGTGGGAAATGGAACAACATACAACAAAGGGGCCCATCAGCTGCACTGGACATAGATAAAAAAGAACTATGCAACCCAAAGACGCAATGGGAAGGGAGGAATGAGAGGGGAAGAGGGAACAGCTTACACTAAGCAAAAGGAAAGAAATATAAACATCACCTGATGTGGAAGAAATAAATTATATTGTCAAAGCTCATAGGATTCACAAACTTTATAGACCATGATAATGACAATTTGCCTTGTGAAGGTTAAAATGTGTTTGTGAGTTTAACTAAGTATCACTATTTCACAATACTGTGAAATATGTGAAATTTATGTAATCACCTAATCTCAATTTTTAAAAAAAGTGAGAGAAGGGATAGGTTAGGAGCGATGGGTGACAATGTTGTCAAACACCTTGTATTCATATACTGTTTTGTAGAATGGGAAGTTGTTTTTTGTTTTGTTTTGTTTTATTGTGGTTGTGGGGCTTGAACTCTGGGGTTGGCGCTGTCCCTGTGCTCTTCAGCTCAAGGTGAGCACTCTACCATTTGAGTCACAGCGCCACTTCCGGTTTTTCTAGTGGTTTATTGGAGATAAGAGTCTCATGGACTTTCCTGACTGGGCTGGCTTTGAACCGAGATCCTCAGATCTCAGCCTCCTGAGTAGCTAGGATTACAGGTGTGAGCCACCGGTGCCCAGCTTAGAATGGGAACTTCTTTGTACAACTACTTAAAGATAGTAATAATAATAATAATAATGTTTAAAAATTAAAAAAAATTTTAAAGCTATGCTGAAATACTTCCTTGGGAAAGTTTTTCACTAGCTGCCCATTTTGCCAAATTTAGATTCTATTTTAAGGAATAATAATTCTAAGTGCTCAAGCTTTTTTTTTTTTTTTTTTTTGCAATTAAGAAGGTACATATGGAAAATCTCAAGTCTGGAGAGCAGAAGGCGACACATGATAGGAAAACAGGTACCTGAGGAAGAAGAGAATCTCATCCTTTCTACTTTATCGCCCTGGAAACCAAGAAACTGCCTGTGTGCATACAACACATAGTTTCTTCCAGAGAAGAGGAAAGGCTGGAAGATGTGATGGTAACGTAACAGAAAACAGAGAATGCCAAAATATAATTCAAACCATGTTTTTGTTGAATAACACATCAGCTTCTCTGGAGAGTTTTCTACCCCAAAATCCTCTAAAGCCCCAAAATAACTCAGGTCTAAATAGTTGATTTTCTACTTTTTAAAAAAGAATCATCAAAAAGTAACTAATATGTTTGTTGGTTTACTAGTTTTTGAACTTTATTTTTTTGCATTTTTTAAATTGTTATTACAAAGGTGATATACAGAGGAGTTACAGTTACATAGGTCAGGTAATGAGTATCTGTGAACCTTTTGTGTACATGTGAATACTGGGTTTGAACTTAGGACCTCACATTTGCTAGGCAATGTTACACTCTGCCACTCTACTGCTCTTTTTGCATCTGTTATTTTAATGGCAGGGTGTTGCTTTATGACTTTAGGACCATAATCCTCTTATTTGTGCTTTTCCTGTTGCTGGCATGACAGGTCTGCACTACTGCACCCAGCTACTGTGCTCACCCCAGCTTGGGATGACAGGTGCCCAAAACTGTGTCCAGCCATTGGTTAGTGGTTGAGATGGGTTGATTTCTAACTGTGATACCTTTGTTCTCCAACGTAGCTAAGATTATAGGCCTGAGTTACTTTAACAAACCCTAGTCTTTAAATTTGTATTTGTTCTGGCTAATTAAAAAAGAAACCTGAAAATTTAGGTAGGAGATAAATGTTATGCTGCTAAGTGGTTTTCTTGTTTGTTTCTTGTGGGGTTTTGTTTTAATGCAGAACTGAAGTTTGAACATATGGCCTTCTGCTTCTAAGCAGGTGCCATTTGAGCTACTCCCTAGCCTTAGTTTGTTTTAATTAAAAACATTTGATGTGGAGTGAAAGAATCATGTTTCACAATCTGAAGCATCATTCTTTACCTAGTGGCAGCCATCCAAACCTCAGAAATATTTAGGTGCCAATGGCTCATGCCTGTAATCCTAGCTACTTAGGAGGCTGAGATCTGAAAAATGTGATTTAAAGCTAGCCTGGCAAGAAAGATGGTGAGACACATCTCCAATTTACCACCAAAAAAACAGAAGTGGAGCTATGGCTCAAGAACGAGAGTGTAAGCCTTGAGGGAAAAAAGAAATCTCAGGAACAGTGCTCAGACTCTGAGTTCAAGCCCCAAGACTTGTATAGAAGCAACTAAATAATGTCTGCCATGGAGGAAAGGAACTGTTCCAGTCAGGCTCACACTTCTAAATTTCAGTCTTGGAGGAGACAGCAAGTGAGTCGGAACTCCCCGTCCTCCACAAAACTGCCATCATGAAACTGAAACTCCACCTCCCCTCTCCATAGCAAATCAGAAGCAAAAGGAGAGATGAGATACATCATCTAATATATTTCACATACATTTGATGGTGAGTCTGGTATAAAGCACATGGCTGTCAAACCTGTAGCTGAAGGCAGAGTAGAGCCAACTGTGCCAGGAGGATAAGCTCAAGGGAGTAAGAAACAAGGTTAACCACTTACTACCTACGGGAATCAGATGCGTGGGCTGGGATTCTTCCAGTTTGTTCCTCAACCAGTCAAAATCCTGGTATCTTCGACGAACAGAATATTCTGGCAAGTCAAACTCCACTCGAGTACTCTGCAAACAGAAGAGAATGGAAAAACAAGCCTAAGAGTAAGGTAGCATACATTGGCTGAAGGGAAGGAAAAAGCTCCCTTAAGTGACCAAACTGGGCACACACACATACCCCTTCCACCCAGCACACATCCAAATGGGGGTGCCTATCACCGCGGAGAGACAAGCCTGGGCCACAGCCCCGGTAAAAACTCAAGGAACCAGGATGGAAATTCAGGTTCTGGGTTTCTGAGTTTGTTCTGTTTTTTTCCTATCCTCAGGAAATGGAATTCAATTTTCCCTCAGAATTGTTTAGAACATTTGATTCATTTCCTCCAAGCTTAGCTCTGACAATGTCTTTTTGCAGAATAATTCCATTTAAGATGTTGCTACTCAGTCCAAATCTGTGAAAGGAAACTAAGTCTTCACCTCCTGCCAAATGTGCTGCTGGCGGGCTTTGCTGAAGGCAGCAGGGAAATAAGCTGCAGAGTCCATCTCTGCTCACTTGGAGGCAGAGTCCATGAAAACAGAAAAGATTCCACGAAATCTGCCATATTCTGCCAGGGCCACAACTTGGAAAGTTTTGGAAAGTATCTAGGAGGAAATAGCAACAAATGCCATTGTATAGCATAAAAATATTAATCTTTTCCTTTTGTTCCTAAATTTTTAAAGTCTTCTGGAATGTAACTGTAGCACTTTAAAATCAATATTAAACAAAATTGGCTTGTACCAAAACAGATTTTTTTTCTTATTAATTAAAACCATATCTCAGCTAAGCCACTTTTCCCTAAGATGCTACCAACAATTACTCAGATAAAAACTGCTCAAGCAGCCGGGCACTGGTGGCTCATGCCTGTAATCCTAGCTGAGATCTGAGGTTCAAAGCCAGCCCAGGCAGCAAAGTCCATAAGACTCTTATCTCTAATTAAAAAAAAAAAGCAAGGCAAAAACAAAACAAAACAACAAACAAAAAAAAACTAATTGGCTCAAGTGGTAGAGTGCTTGCCTTGAACCTGAAGAGCTCAGGGACAATGCCCAGGCCCCCGAGTTCAAGCCCCATGACAGACAAAAATAAATAAATTGCTTAAGCAACATTCTATAAATTTACTTTTTAAGCCAAAAATGTGTTTTAATCCAAGTGGCCCAGAAAAACTTAGAACCACAGAAGGAACAGTCATCCGTCAAAGAAAGGGTCAACTTTGAAAATAAGCTCATCTTCCCCCAAAGCTGTATTCATGCTCATCTTCTCACACCCCTGTTTCTCCAGTACCTGGCTCTGCAACCTCCACCAGGGCCCCCCAATAACCTAGGTGCCCTTGAGACTTGGGTGGTCCCTACATTCAGCACCTGTCCCTAAGCTAGCCTCTCCCTCCAATACTCAGCCCCTCCAGGCAGAACTTTTGTCAGGAGAGAAATGTCCACATACCTCCCTCAAAGCAGCACTCCCCAAGTTTCATTCAGGCTCTTCCCCTCCCCCATACTCTGCCTGTTCAGCCTCCTGGGGAGACCTGAAGTTTCTTGACATTCTGTTTCTCCATGCCTTTGCTCTCCTCCTATTCCCCATCAATTCCATGGCCTGTCTCTTCAACCTGTCATTTATTTAAAGGTTCCCTCCCTCCACTGCCCTTTCATCCAACCTGGCAAAATGCAGCCACTAAATCTGTTTTTTAACACATCTGGGTATAGGAGCTCAGACACGGTGTGACCCAATAAATTCTCCAGCCACCAACAATCTTTCCAATTCCTTTCCCTGCTCTCTCACTCAGTGTCACATCAGCTATTCAAATGCTTACAGAAAAAGCCCACTTCAAACTTCCCCTTATTCTCAGCAAAGTATCTCACCACTAATTCTGAGAGGAAAGTATATTTATAAGCCAACAATTACTCAACTTCCTGCCACAAAACAAGCTTTTTTAAAAATAAGTTTTTTATTGTAAAAATACTGTACAGAGGGGTTACAGTTACATGAGCAAGGTAATGAGTACATTTCCTATCAAGCATTGTTACCTCCTCCTGTGTTTTTCCCCTACCCTCATTTCCCTCCCACCTCCACAACTATACTCCCCCTCCCCCAAGCTTCCCTTCCTTTCCACAGGAACTGTGGAAAGTGGATCTTCCTACTGGGGTAAGCACACTGTCTGCTTACATCCTTCTAGCAGGTCAATCCTAGTGGTGCCTCTGTTCTTGCTCCATGCTTCATTCTTGCTTTCCTCACACCCTTTCATTGTTACCTCCCCTTCATCCTAACCCACTGCTATCTGGGTTCTGCACACCATACCAACAAAATGCTCTAGAGCTAACAGCCCCATCACGATCCTCACCTGCAAGCAGCATTTAGACACTACCACTGAGGTATAAAAAAGAGAAGCTGGGCCGGGCGCCAGTGGCTCACGCTTGTAAACTTAGCTGAGATCTGAGGATCGCGGTTCAAAGCCAGCCCGGGCAGAAAACTCTGTGAGACTCTTATCTCCAATAAACCACTAGAAAACTGGAAGTGGCGCTGTGGCTCAAGCGGTAGAACGCTCGCCTTGAGCTGAAGAGCGCAGGGATAGTGCCCAAGCCCAGAGTCCAAGCCCCACGACCGACCAAAAAAGAGAGAGAGAGAGAGAGAGAGAGAGAAGCTGGGTTGAATGCCACTGGCTCAGGCCTATAATCCTAGCTACTCCAGAGGCTGAGATCTGAGGTTAGAAGTCAGCCAGGGCAGATGTAACTAAGATATTCTTCTCTCTATCTAACCAGCAAAAATGCAGGAAGTAGAGGTGTGGCTCAAGTGGTAAAGCACCAGCCTGAAGAGAAAGAAGCAAAATGAGAGCAGAAGGTCCTGATTTCAAGCCCCAGTATCAATACACACACAAAAATAATTGGTTGGGCACAGAAAGCTGGTGGTTACTGGCAGGCAACAAAGTAAAAGGAATGGAGGGAGCCTCTACAGAGAGCAGGGGCATCTTCTGCTCCCTCAGTCTCAAGTCCACTTCTGTACCACCAGTGTCAATAGCCAGGCTGCCCAACTAGACCACAGAGCAATCTGAGAGCCATCACTCTCTGGAAAATCATCTTTTGGAAAGGGCATGAACTCGAATCAGACAGACCTGAACTCAAGATCTAACCCTACCAATTGCATCTCATCTTCTGAGAAGTGCAAGTCCCAGGACAAGATCAGGTATGGGATCCTCTGTCCCTGTCTGACTTCTTTCTCAGCCCCAAACATCCCTACATAAATTTTAATATAGCTTTCAGCTCCAAATACACCACCACAACATTAAGTCTGGTCCTATTTTCAGAAACAGAAAAAGCCAACAACTCTGGTGTGGATTCAAAAGCAGGAGAAAAGGCAGAGACCAGAAAGTCACGCCTGTAATCCTAGTTACTCAGGAGGACCTCGGTTCAAGACCAGCCCAGAAAAGGCCAGAAAACCTTGCTAGACTCCATCTCTAAAATAAATAACAAAAGGCAGAGATGGAGGCATGTCTCAAGTGTTAAGAGCACCAGCTAGCAAGCACAAGGCCCTAGGTTCAAACCCCTGTACAGGGAGAAGAAAAAAAAAAGTGGAAGAGATAAGCAGGAAAAAAAAAATCCACAAGTTTATCTTGTGGTGTTGGCATCACAGCCAGGTGGACTGGAACTGGGGAAAGGTTACTCTCAGTTTCTCAAATAACCCCAAAAGAAGGACAAAAAGGACATGGAGGGAACCACCAGTAGGGAGGGAAGAACAGAAGGGCCCTACCAAAAAGATGCAAGAGTGCTAGCCTCAAGAGCAATCCTGCGGGATTTGCTTCCGTGGGGGAAGGACAGGGGTAAACTGCAGGACACAGGAGTCAAGGAGCAGCGGAAAAATGTCACAGGAGGCAAGTACTGCTGTGCCAGCAGCTCAGTCACCTTATCACCTGGCTGTTTACAGCACCAATTCAAGAAAAACAGGTTTTGCATTTCACGGACTACAGAGTAAAACATAAGTAAACGGAAACAATTTCTGGGAATATCAGCAGAAACATCACTCTAGAACCTCTGAGGAAGCAATATGTGTGTATGCACCTGCCTAGGGTAGCAATGGGGAAGACACGGGCACAGACAAATGTCCCAGTGTAAACCAAGGGCAGAGATGGCAGAATAGTAACCAAAAAACTGAGGAAGGTTTCAGTGTCCTCAAACTATGCTGTATAAACATCACTATCATTAAATAACTAGATAGAGGCTAAAAGATAGTTATATGGACAAGGAAAGGTCTTCAAGCATGCTATCAAGTGGAAGGGAAAATGAAGCAATACTTTCTCTGGGTCTATGTGCACATAAACGCAAAGGAGAGAAGAAGACATGCCAGGTTCATCTTGTTTGTTTCTAATGGGAAGTAGGTTTAAGTGAGAAGGACCAAAGACAACTAAGTTATCTGATTAGTCTTTAGAACTGTCCTTCTTTCCTTTCCTTTCTTTCTTTCTCTCTCTGTCTCTCTCTGTCTCTCTCTCTCTCTCTCTCTCTCGTGTGTGTGTGTGTGTGTGTGTGTGTGTGTGTGTGTGAGAGAGAGAGAGAGAGAGAGAGAGAATGCTGGTACTGAATACCTACTGTCCCTTAGCTTCTTCACTCAGGGCTGGTATTCTACCACTTGAGCCACACCTCCACTTTTAGCTTTTTGGTAGTTAATTGGTGATAAGAGTCTCATAGACTTTCCTGCCCAGGCTCAGTTTGAACTGAGATCCTCAGATCTCAGCCTCCTGAGTACCTAGAATTAGAGGTGTAAGCCACTGATGCCTGGCTTAGAAAAAAAAAACTTGCCAGGAGTCGGTGGCTCATGCTTATAATCTTAGCTATTCAAGAGGCTGAGATCTGAGGATTGTGGCTCAAAGCCAGCTAGCTTGAGCAGGAAAGTCCAGGAGACTCTTATCTCCAATAAACCACTCAGAAAACCAGAAGTGGCGCTATGGCTCAAGTGGTAGCGCACTCACCTTGAGCTGAAGAGATGAGGCTGAGGGACAGTGCCCAGGCCCAGAGTTCAAGCCCCATAACCGACCAAAAAAAAAAAGAAAGAAAAGAACAACAACAAAAAAAAAGTTTTTTTAACTCCAGGCCTCATTCTTAATAGGCTGGCGCCATATATCTGAGCCATGTCTACAGCCCTGCTTTATTTTTTGACAATATATTTATATTACTCATATAACTGCAAAAATATAACATTGTCATCCAACAAAAGATGAAGAAACAAAATTGAGCCTATTCCATTGTTTCTCTTTTCAAAGAATCAAGTAGATACAGCCCCCTATTAAAGTTTCCAGATAAAAATAGATTTTTGCCAGGCATGGTAGTGCACACCTATGATCTCAGAACTCAAGATGCTGAAGCAGGAGGATTAAGTTTAAGGCCATCCTGGGCTACATAGCTAGACCCTGTTCTACCCAAAAATCAAGAAAATACATCAATGTTTTCTACCATAAGAAGGGGAGAGGGCTGGGAAGGTAGCTCAGTGGTAGAGTGCATGCCCTACAAGCATGAGGCCCTGGGTTCGATTCCTCAGCACCACATAAACAGAAAAAGCCGGAAGTGGCGCTGTGGCTCCAGTGGTAGAGCGCTAGCCTTGAGCTGAAGAGCTGAGGGACAGTGCCCAGACCCAGAGTTCAGGCCCCATGACCGGCAAAAAAAGAAGGGGAGAAGGCACAATGAGGCGAGAGACATGTTCATCAGAGCACTTCTCAACATGTCGCAGGAAGGCTCCTCCATCTATCAAAACTTTGCCACCATAACTCCTTCTTCATTATGTGGTTGTGGTAGAGGCAATACCAGGGAACCGGGTGGTTTTCCGCTGAGAATACCTCTTCCTAAGTGATAACGTCAATTCTCTCCCTAATAATGAAGAAGATAATTAAGATCTGTGGCTTTTAACTAGGGAGCAATTTTGTTCCTCAGCAAATGTTTACAATGTCTGGAGAAAGTTCTGACTGTCTCAACTGGGGGCTGCAGAAGGTGAAGTGCTCCTGGCACCTGGAGGATGGAGGCCAGGGGTGCCGCTGGACATCCTGTGCTGGGACAGTGCACCGCCAGGCATTATCCAGTCCAAATGCCACTACTGCGGTCAAGACATCCTGCTCCAGACTAAGATTTCGCGGGTATGTCCAATATGAAAATAAAGAAATAAGGTCAACAGTGAAAAGCAACAATGCAGGGAAGGGGCTGAGTTCAGTGGTAGAAGACTGCTAGGTGCAAGGCTCTGAGGTCCTTCCCAGCACAGGAAAATAAATGTCTGCTCTCTTTTATAAGTGGAATTATATCTAGAGTATGAGGCTCCCTTGTCCTATAAAGGTTAGAATCCTGGTTACTGATCTTGTATTCTTGAACAAGCTATTTAAACCTTCTATTTCAGTTTCCTCATCTTCATAATTATGGCTAAAAGACACAACTCTTAGGAGTGGTGGGAAAGTTAATTCGTTATCTCAGCACCCTGCCTACTACCTGACTGGCACAGTGCAGCAAGTCACTAGTTCTAGTCCTCTTACTTCTAGTCCCCTGTGATTAAGCCAAATAATAATCAGGATCTCATCACAGAGATTTAGACTTATACAATGATCCACAAGTAATCATTCAGAGTAATCTCACATGAACATACTAAGTAGTATATCATCATAAAAAATAAGTAAAAGAATAAAAGGGATTAAAGCTGGTCTTGAGGTTTGAACTCTGGGCCTGGACACTGTCCCTGAGCTTCTTTTGGTCAAGACTAGCACTCTACCATTTGAACTACAGCACCACTTCCAGTTTTTTTTTAGTAGTTTATTGGAAATAACTCCAGGCTAACTTTGAACATTGATTCTTAGATCTCAGCCTCCTGAGTAGGCTAGGATTACAGGCATGAGCCACTGGTGCCCACCTATGAAATGCTTTTAAATACAGCCATTCTCTCCACAAGCTGCCCCCATAACTGTAAAAGGGTGATGGGGAGAGAAAAAGAAGCAGAAGTCACAGAGGTAGGACTCCAATTCTCCACGAGCCCTCACCTGGGACATTCTAAAACAAAGGGACCTACTTTGGTGGTGACTCTATAGGTGATGTACGTCTCCATCGTGCACACGTGCTTCTTGGGATCATCAACGGTGACAAAGAGATCCCGGGTCTCACCATCGATGTCATCGTCAAGTTGAAGTCTGTTTAGAAGCGAAGATGAAGATGCTGGACTTGAAGTGCCAGCTGGAGTACCACCGTTGGGCAAGATGAGATCCTAAAAGAAGAAAAGAGTTTTCCTTACAAATTAAAGGTAAACACACTGGAGAACTTCAGCAATTGTAGCTGCTTTAATCAAACCCCCAAACATCTCTAAAATACAAATATAACTTTCAAAACCCCAGAGCCTCTCCTTACTCAATGGTTCTTTAGTGAACATGTTTGTGTGTGTGTGTGACAGAGAGAAACAGTGTGGTGGCATTCTAAACCAAATGCCTGGCAATTTGCCTTCCTGCAAGACAGAGGAGCGAGCAAGACAACAGTCCAGGATGGAGGATTACATCCCATCACGGTCAGACTTTGAGAGAGACAGACTTTTATGAGCACACCATGGGTTCTGTCCCTACATTCTTAATTAAGCCCATCACCTGGGTCAAGCCCTCTAAAATACTTAGCACACCCAAAAATTCAACCAGACAAACAAAAATTATGTAACTCCAGGAAGAAGTTCATATCGCCACTGCCTATGAGGTATGCTTGCCCAAAACAAACAAACCAACCCTGAATTTGAATCCTGAACAAGTTTCCAGATACAACAAGAATTCACTAGCAGCACACACTGCACATGATACGTGACACCAAACATACCGTGTGTGAAACTAAGAGAACCAAAGATCCCAGTTCTTTAATACATAACAAGAAAAAAGACAGATGTGGAAGACAGACTTTGGAGGCAGAGACTTAACAGATCTGTCACCAATTGCAATAAAACACAATGTAAAAAGATAACTATTGAGCTATTCATGGGAATGTGAGTATGGCTCTGCTGATATCTGATGCTGTTATTGGGTGTGATGCATCCTTAGATGTGATGATGGAAGTGTTATGATTCTATAAAGGCTTCTTTTAGAAATATGTAATAAAATACTTATAGATGAAATGTCTGCTATTTACTTCAAAATAATTAGGGATGAGTAGACATATAATTGCTACTTGTGGTATAGAAGAAAGGCAGGGTCTCACTGCCACGGTTGCTGACTTGTGGACAGTTCAACAGCACACGGCAGTCAGGGTCACAGACACGGTCCCGGTATCTGGCAGGGTATTTCATCTTCTCTAGATCTCTGAGATTACCATGGGGCCTTAGTCATTTCAGTAAATATTTAAACTTTTAGCCCACAGAGGTTCACCCTTAGGTTTATCAACACTAGGGCCCTAGACCTCAGAGCAACTCCATTGAAGCAGCTCATCAGTACACAAATAAAAAGAATTTTAAATCTTTGGTCAGACAGTCAACATTAGCTCAGTGCCATTTGACTTAAGACTGATTTTAGCAACTTCCCTTCTGGCCTATTCCAAACCTACCATTTTGTCACAGACCTTTTCTTTACTCCGAAAAGCCCTCATCCTTTTTTAACACAGAAGTCTCCAAATGTCTTACAGATTTGTCAGATGCTCTCTCCTGAGCTTTGCTTGACCCACTCCCTGGAAGAATTAGTCACTCTCTTCATAATACCTGGTAGGCAGCAGCACTGAAACAATTTTCACAGCTTTAATCATTTAATCTACACATCTAATTTACCCAAAAACATTGAGTCCCCAGTGACTGCAACTGTGTGTGTGTGTGTGTGTGCGTGCGTGCGTGTGTGTGTGTGTATATATATATCTGCCATCATTTCTCCTTAGGTTTACAATGAAAAGTCAACTCCCCTAAGCTTTGCTTTGGGGAACTCGGCCAATAACCTTCCAGGAACAGTGCATAGAAGGGTCACGATGTCTCAGCCAGTGTGCTCAGTTAGAGTCAATCAGACCTTGTCACATACTCCAGATTCTTTCCTCCTGGGAAAACACCTGCATCCCTGACAGGGTTTTCCCTGGAATATTACTTGAGTATTTTGGAACAGCTGTTGAGCTACAAACACCTACCCTTACCTCTAAGCAGCAACGCTGCCACCTCACACTGCCAGGCACATGTGGTCACCATACTTCCCATCACTAAGCCCAGCAAGAATTTCAGCCTGTGTCTTCTCAGTCACAGAGAATATTAAAATAAACAACACAAGCAATATTCTATATTACATTAAATATATGATTTATGGAAACAGAGTGGTATAGAGTGAAGCGTAATGTAATTTATTAGCTAAAGTTAATCATGTGCTGCCTCACCCAAAACAGTGGAGCCAAATGGATGAAATATAAATCAGTATGTCAGCTGAGGGCTTGTGGCTCATGTCTACAATCTTAGCTACAAGTAAACTGAGGTCTGAGGATCATGACTCAAAACCATCCTAGGTAGGAAATACATAAGACTCTCTCAGCTCCAATTAACCACCAAAAAGCTAGAAGCGGAACTGTGACAAGTGGTAGAATTCCTTGAGCAAAAAAGCTCAAGAACAGTGCACGGGCCCATTTTAGTTCAAGCCCCAGGACTGGCGCATATGCACACCTATATGTACACACAAAACATTTCTAAGTTATCATTATCAAATTTCCCTTTTTTGATACTCTTGGAGGAATGTGGTCAGAAAAGGGTAACAAAATTCCTCATGGAGAACTCATAGTTAAGGGGAGAGTGACAGCTCTTCTCAATGTACTGCCCTGGCTTATCTTGACTTACCGCCCTCTTGCCAAGTACAAAAGACACATCAAGAATGAATGTGTCCACAAACCAAACAGACTATTTCTAATGGTGGATTTTGTTGCAAACTTAAAACCTCTTTGGAGACTGAACTCAAAAGGAAAAATCTAAAAAATGTTCTCTACCAAGGCATTCATAGTAGAACAAAGAACACAATGAAACCTGGGGGGAAATCCTAAAGGTACAATAACCAGGAAATGTTATTTGTATGAATAAGTCAGAATGTTACACTCATTTAACAATTATATCTAGATTTCTATTCAATGAGTTTGGTCACCAGTTTTTGTTGTTTTTTTTCTCTTTTTCTACCTCAATATTGGAGACTAGGGAAGGAAGCTATCCATAGGGTAAGATTTTCTACCAACACAACTGGAAATAACTAAGAGGTATCTTTAACCCAAGTCACTCAGGCTACTTTGTGTAGAAATGTCCTGAATCCCTCCCCATATGCACCCTAATTTGAAAATGCGATAGTCAATGGGTAGTAAGACGAGTTGTAGAATGCCTGACAATGAGAACCAAAGAAAAATAAATAAATGAAATAAATAAAAAATAAAACAAAACAAATGAGAACCAAAGATGACCACCAGGGTTTCTGGCTGCTGTGAACAAAGGGCTGTCAAGCACAGGCAGGTTTCACAGGTGAGGACCACCCTTTCCACAGGGCTTCAACCCCCACAGAAGGAGCACATGTGAGATAAAGGTCAGAGGTGCAAGAAAGCACCTAAGGCAGCTGCCATGGGCCTGTCCAACAAGCACAAGGCTGACAAAGCTACAAATGCTGGGGAGCAAGGCTTGACAATGGAGAGAGCCACTAAAAAAGGAATACGCCAGGCTACTGGGCTTCTAGACACTGGACCAAAATGCCCAGCATAATGTCTCCTTTTCCTGCTGACAGATCACTCATTGGGTAGCAATTAAGGACCCAAGAAGACAATTGTAGCAACATCAAGTAATGACAGAGGCAGACCAGGAATTCAGTTGTTCTGGTGGAAGGCTAATAACAAGCCTGCACTATGACCTCATCAGACACGAGTACACCAGAAAACACTCAATCTGCATTATTCCATCACGCAGACCAAGGACACAGAAACATGAAGTAACACAAAATCCTGAGAGCAGATAAAATACATATGAAAGGCTTTATTCCATGAGACAGAACACTTTAGGCCACATCTACTGTATGGCCTAAAAAAATTTAATTAATTTGGAGGAACTTGACCTGTTCCATGAAGCAAAGTGGCAGTGGTTTAAAAAAAAAAAACAAACACGTAGAGAATAAAATTTGAAGTGTGTACTGAAAATAGACAAGAGCAAAAGTTATCAACAAAAACCCACTCTTAATTCTTCCAATAGATGAATACGATAAATAAAAAGTTAGAAAGCCGGCAAAGAGAGAAATATCAATCTTGTCTCTATATGCAAGTATAAATTACAAGCATACACTACAAAAAACTACATCAACAAATCTGGAAATCCATATGATCTAGGTAGTCTCTAGCAGAAGAAAAAATATGGACAAAATGAAACTACATGGAGGCAAATCCCTGAGGATAATAACCAACTTCAGAAGCTTTCTGTGTTGTCAAGAGAACCCCCACTGAAAGGTAGTTTTATATATAAGATCTAATGAACCTTTACAAGTAAGTCCTTTTCTTATTCAAATAGTCTGAGACTCATATCAATCACTTTATAAATTTCTGATATCAATATTATTAGAGTAAAAAGGAAATTAGAAGAAAGCATAAGCATAATTAATGAAATAGCAGCTAATAGTGCATTAAAAGAACTTTTTAATGTATTTCAGGAAAGCAAGAATGATTTCATAGGAAGGATTGTGTATGTCTGTGTGTGTCCTGGTCCTAGGGCTTGAACTCAGAGACTAGGTGCTGTCCCTGAGCTTCTTTTACTCTATCTCAGCATCCTGAGTAGCTAGGATTACAGGTGTGAGCCACCTCCACCCAGCTAGAAAGAAATTTTATTAATGTAGTTCTCAGACTAACACATTGTATAAACACTGAAGATAACTGTGTCCACAAAAACAAAAAAGTTGGTTGGTATTATTCATTAGTAAACATCAATTATTACATTAAAATTAAAAATCTGTGTAAAAGGGAAGCCATAAATATGTTAAAGAATATCAGAAAACCTCATCAATGATACTTAAAAACATTAGTCTAAGTGAAAAAAGCCAGACACAAACAACCATCACCATACTATTCCATTTCTATAAAATGTCACAACAGACAAATCTTGGTGGTGGTGGTGGTAGTCGTGGAATTTGAACTCAGGGTCTGGGCATTGTCCTTGAACTTTTTGCCCATGCTCTACCACTCTGAGCCACAGCTCCACTCCAGCTTTTGAGTGCTTAACTGGAAAGAAGAATCTCAGACTTTTCTGCCCAGGCTGGCTTCAAACCATGATCCTCAGATCTCAGCCTCCTGAGTAACTAGGATTATAGGCATGAGCTACCAGTACCTGGCACAACAGCAAATCTTTTTTTTTTGGGGGGGGGGTCCAGTCGTGGGTCCTGAACTCTGGGCCTAGACACTGTCCCTAAGCTGTCTCTTCAGCTCAAGGCTAGCGCTCTACCACTTGAGCCACAACACCACTTCTGGCTTTTTTTCTTTTTGCTTATGTGGTGCTGAGGAATCGAACCCAGAGCCTCATGCATGAAAGGCAAGCGCTCTACCACTGAGCCACCTTCCTAGCCCCACAACAGCAAATCTTTAAGAGACAAAAAATAACTTTTGGTTGTCAGGGCCTGGAGGGAGAATAGAGTACAAAGTGACAGCTTAATGAGGTTGGGACTTACTTTGGAGATGACAAAATTACTCTGCAGTGATGACGGTGGACAAGCCTATATATTACAAATCACTCAATTATCTTTAAGTGATGAGTTTCACAGCATGTACACTGTATCTCAACAACAATAATAAAACAGCAACAACGTGAAGCACTTGGAGGCACATGTGCTAATAAAAAATTTGATAAGTGTTTTCTCATTATTCAAAGCCACTCTGGAAATTCTAAGCAATATAGTGGGACATACAAGATATCTGCAAGGTGCAGCGGTCTGCCACTTTGCTTCATGGAACAGGTCAAGTTCCTCCAAATTAATCTATCATTTAATACACATAATAATAAGTAGATGTATTTCAAATATTTAAAATGATAAACCTGAACTGCTAGATTCACTAGATAATATTCAATGAAAAAAGTAATGGATGTAGACAAAATGACAGACTGAATCAACATTTGTGAGAATTAGCCTCTCCTCTGAAAAGAGGATCCGATATTCATACTATTGCCAGATGATATCCTATAGGCAGATACATTCCCATCCCATTGCTTTGGGCCACGGCCATGTGATTTTCTCTGACCAATGGAGAGCCATTGTCTTCCTCCTTCTCTTCTGCATCCCCAAAGTGAACATCCCAATGGGACTGCTCCTACCAAATGGAAAGCTCACAAGAGCCAGCACAGCTAACTCATAGCCACTGACACACAGCAGGACCGAAAACTGAATGCATGTTTAAGCCTTGGAATTTGGGGAGTATTTATTACCACAATAGATCTGACTTGTACATATGTATTAAAATGTCTATATAAATACTTGAGAATTTTAAGATGCAAAGATGACCTTTCTCTACCCCTTCAAGTTGCTCAAACGTGTCTTAACTAGTACGTCTCAAGTTCTAGATTCCACTTGCTTGTTAGTAAGAAATTTTCCCCAATGACTGCCCTAGAAACCTCATGTCAAGGGCTAGGAAGGTGGCTCAGTGGTAGAGCGCTTGCCTTGCATGCCTGAGGCCCTGGGTTCGATTCCTCAGCACCACATAAGCAAAAAGAAAAAAGCCAGAAGTGGCACTGTGGCTCAAGCGGTAGAGTGCT